GTCACCGTTATGCCACCTAGCTGTTTTGTATATAGAATTGTTATGTATGGTATTATTGTATACTACCTCCGTCCTAGTGTATTTGTCCAGTTTGCCTTTTTTGAGTCAAATTGGACAAACTTTGAACTCCAATTACTCGCAATTTATAATGCATATATATTAGCGTAATGAAATACAATTTTGAAAGTTCTCAATATAATAAATCCAATAAAGTTATTTTTATATTAAAATACATTATGGTTTTTATTTAATTGAATCTCAAAATTTGTCCAGTTTGACATCAAACAGTCAAACTCGACAAATACACTAGGACGGAGGGAGTATATTTTATTTATAATAGTGACATTAATTAGTTTTGGCGATTTTATTAATTAGAGCATATCGTCAACTCGTCATAAATCGATTGCTTGTTTTAATTAATTTACGTAATTAATTAGATTATACAAATAATTGAATAAACCTTATAAAAAGGGAATAATCTAGCTAATTAATAGGATGTGTGGAGTTCATGTTTGTTCAACAACTTTAAAAATTTCACGGCGGGGTCCGGGGGCAGCAGCCCCTGGTAGCGGGGTCCAAGGGGCATAGCCCCCGGCTGGGGTCGAATTTTTTTTTGAACGTTGTTGTTTTATGAAAATTCTTTTAATTTTTTTGTTTGGAGTCTAAAATGAAGTCCAAAATGAATTGAGTATATATATTCAAAATAAGAGGTAATCCTTTTAAAAGAGTAATCATTTTAAAAAAGAATCTAAAAAAAAGTAATCCTTTCAAATAATAAAAGCAAAACTTATATTAAAAAACCTGAATAAAAAAATTGACTCCTTCATCGCCTAAAAACCTTCCTCGCCTAAAATTCGGAACACACGCCTTCCTCTTAATCGACTGAGCAACCGCAACTCTTCATCTTCTTCTCTCCCATCCACGTGCCGGCCGACGATTGTCATAGAGTTCTCAAATTAGCTTCAATCAATTCCAATCAAGGTTGAGGTGAGTAATCCAATATTTGATTTCATATTATTATCTTCGTGTTTTTGGTTTTCTAGTATTTGTGTTTCTATAGATTTGTAATGTGCTTGGAGTTAGTTTTTTGATGCTACTCGGATGGGATGGAAGGGGTCTAGTTTTGGAACGGTGGGCTGGGATTCACAACCTCGGGTTGGA